AAAAAGTTTCATTTCCGTCCTAGTTAAAAATGACTAGTTGAAGTCACAAAGTTAAAAATATTAAACTATTATTATCTATGGGGAAAACTTCTGAGTTGACATTTCAGTGACTGTGTTATTGAATTTATATTAATAGTTAATAGCATTATATTAAAACAGTAATAAACTTTGAACGTTAGTAATAATAACAACTCAACGTTGACCTTTGAACCTTATAAAATAAAATATTATAATTATTTTTAGATCATCTGCAATTTCACTAACATCGCAAGCAGAAGAAGTAGAAGCAGCAGCACGAAATAATAACATTCAGCAGGGCCAGTCCTGGACCAACAACAACTTTTATTACTTCAATGCTCTCCCTCTATAAATCTTATTAATGTTCCACTTAATAACATTATCTCCAAATAAAATTCTACTGCGAGTGCACACGCACATGTAGACAATACGGAGGCACACGGAGAAAGATATTATCAAACATACATAAACAAACACACAAACTAACAAAAAATTATTAGAAAGTAAAATGAACAAACAAACATGCAAACAAACAAACAAACATTTAAATGAACAAAGGAAAAAATGAATATATGAACAAACGAACAAGTGACGAAACAAAAGTACGAAAAAGTAAACATGTGAAAACCGTCAGACATATGAACAAACAAAAACGCATGTATAATTTATTAATGGTGAAAAAAAATAAGCTAGCTTAAATCTACCAGACAAATGGGTTATCTGACAAACTAATGCATAAAACCGTGCAGATAAAATAGAGAAAGAATGATATATAACATATGACTCAAAGAGCAAATATATTAGGACGCCTTATCTGCATCAATAAGTCCAAAACATTTTAAACTTGGAAAATTTAGGAAAGTCATAAAACACGATAAGATGATTAGAGACGTCAGGAGAGGAATTTTAGGGAATAAATTCTTATTCTTCATCGCTTTTGAAAAAATTCTGAAACCACAAGTTCAGCAGATTCAAATACGTATGTACCAGTGCCTACATTAGAAAAAAGTTTAATTCTGATAAGTATTTTAAATATTATAATTTGTTATAATGTAAAAACTACTAGAACTCTTTGCCTGTTTGTCATTTTTAACACTTTGAAATTATAAAAAATTGAATAAATATTTATTAGCAGTTAAAAATGTTGAAATTAACTAAGACACAATCGATGATGCTGATTAAAAATGCCTCACAGATACAAGACTGGGTACAATATTTCAAGTATGCATGACATTTTGTTTGGAAAAAATTCAGTCATTATGTTATTTATTTAGTTATTTATACAGCAGGGCAATTATCTAAAAAATTTTAAAGTGATTTTTGTTTTTTATCATGGTAATAATTTTAGTTAACAGCAAAACAAATTTAATAAATTATTGTTGAAATAGCAATATCAGTACCAAGACCAGTGGCCGATAACCAATCTAGCAACTGCAGTGTCTCGATTACAACAATATGACAACGATTTGATCTACTTCAATGTACAACTGCCAATTGAACACGTACTAACTCATCATCCTTGTCGTCATCGTCCTTCTTATCGCCATCATTTTCATCGTTTCAGTCATCATCTACGTCATCATCTTTGTTGTTATCGTCATCACATCAACATCATCATTGTTGCTATCGTCATGATATCAACATTACCATACTTGTAACTGTCATCAAATCAACTTTAACATTATCACTTGCGACGTCATCATTGTAATTTTCACTATATTCATCGTCCCTGTGTATCGCTTTTATCACTATCTGCATCATCATTGCCATTATCGTCATCATCTTCATCATCATCTTCTACACAATTCTATCCTCATCTGCATCATCACCGTCACATCACCATAATAATAATAATAATAATAATAATAATAATAATAATAATAATAATAATGTTATTTTATATAGCGCCACGGAAAGCTACTGAGGCGCATTATCTGTATCATCATATACACAGTTTTATCATCATCTTCTTCATCATCATCACAATCATCGTCATCATCATCTTCATCATCATATTCATCGTCATCGTCGTATTTGCCTTGCTTCGCACAGAAACTGGTTGAGTGCAAAATTATCGTAACAACCGCCTGAAAGTCTTATCATCATGCATTCTTGTGAGCATTTGGTTATAAGTTTTAATCATTATATTGCATCAGTATCGTAATAATAAAAATAATAATAATAAGAAGAAGAAGAAGAATGCGAACTCTTTTATTTCAAAGCACAGACGCTAAATAATTATGAAAATAAAATAATGAAATGTCACAATAATGTAATAAAATGTAATAAAATGTCAATGATTGCCACAAGGCTCATTTTCAGAAAAAATATATAGCGGTGAAGTATATTCAAACATATATCACAAATTGTTTCTGTCACAATATATGCCATACGATAGGTTTATAACTGTCTCTATCAATTCATGGTTGAAAGAATCTGGCCACAAAATTTTAAAAAGTGAAAGATTAAAATTATTATAAAAACCTATTGGTGATATTTCAAAAGTATTTATAATGATTGTGCAGTGTTTATAGTTGTCATTTAGATAACTACAAATGACTGCCGAGTCGTCGGCAGCCATTGCTCACAGCACTGAATAATGTATTTTATTATGTGTGAACATATTTTATTTATCTAATCGACACAATGAAACTATAAGATATTAAGATAATAAATTGTAATTAAAATGTTAAAATGAATAGAATAAAAATTATCAATAGAATAAAATAATCAAATGTACGATCCACCCATCCTCATTGCCAATGACAAGTGCATGGGTGTAAGTTATATTTAAAATAGCATTAGGCAATGTTTCTGTCACAATAAAATCCATATGACGAGCTAATAACACTGTTTATTAATTTAAAGTTGAACGGTATTGACCATTTAAATTTAAATATCGATAGATTAAAATTGTTACATAAACCAATTGGCGACAATTCAAATGTATTAATTATTATAGAACAATCTTTATATTCTTTATTTAGATATGCATTTAAATTTTTAATATTTTGTTGTTTATATTGTTTCGATGAAATTAGATTAGTTTCATGGCATATCGTCAGTTCCAATATTTCAATCTTGTTGCCCCTCAAAATGGCAATGTCTGGTCGTAGCGTGTTGAATAGGAGTGACATTGGACGAATGCCTTCCCTTTCCAAATCTGCAAACAAACAGCAATCGTTTGGAGCCTGTAACTTCAACTCGTCCATCATCAACGCCAGTACTTTATTATGTCTATCTGTGTATCTCTTCAGAGCCGATGTTGAATCACAGTTAGACACTACATGCTTGTTTGTTTGTCGAACGTTACACAGTGGGCAAAAGGGAGTTGTGGTTTTGTCCCATTTGACCAGATTTGAATTTGTGGGCAGTTGTTGAATTATGTATTTCCTCACAAATCTGTAATGTATCCCGGACATGTTGTCAACAATTTTTGACCAACAAGTTATCCGTGCTGGAGTAATAAGTTCGCCAATTGACCTGAGCACTGTACCTTGAGATTGAAGTTCAATGATGTGGTTGAGACATGACTTCACTCGGGATTCATCAAGGAGTTTGAGAGACTGCTTTAATGAGCCTGTTTCTTTCAGCGAACTGTCAGGTTTGACAAAGTTTGAAGAGGTTTCGTGCCATAAGCATTTAATTTCTTCATTATCGCTGTTCTTTAAATAGCTGCGAACTTTCATTTTTGTTTTTTCTGCAGTGTCTCTTAATGACATGATGTTATTACCCCCGAGTTTCATTGGTAGTGAAAGCATCTCCGCTACACATCCGCTGATCGGCATCGAGAGCCACTCCCTGACTTTACTTACGATCAGGTTATCTAGGTTGGACGATATCCATGTTGGCGAGAAATTATAGTTGCGGAGTTCAAATTGAATTTGTGTTGGAATGAAGTATCGTAGTATTTTTAGTTTCTGTTGCGGTTTGATGTCCAGACCAGAGGTGGTCTCCAGCAATTTGGTCAGTTTTGAGCTAATTTCCTTTTTGGCTCTAGTATCCTTACCTTCAAAATCATACAATCTACCTAAGTAAACAAAACTACTTTCAATTTTTATGTTTGGAATGACTTCATCATAAATTGTCAATCTCGGAGAGAATTGTTCGTAGGTCCCCTCTTTTTTCCTCATACCAAATGAGTTGCATTTGTCGATTCTCATTTTCATTTTTGACCAACTGTACCACGCGTAATTCAAATCGATTAGTTTCTGGGCGCCTTCAGAACTGTGGGCGATAATCGCTGAGTCGTCAGCAAAATGGAGCCAAGATTTGGCTTTCAGTCCTGAAATTGGGCCTCAGAAATAACCACAGTTAATGTACTCTTTGGTTTCAAGGATTTTCATTAGCGGATTGAAACATAAATTGAAGAGTAGCGGAGAGCACGGATCACCCTGGAGGACACCTTTCTCGACCGGTAGTGTTGATGTTAATTTGTTGTTAATTGAAATGGTTATTGCATAATCTGAGTATATCGACATTATAATCGATTTAAATTGTTGAGGTACATGGTGAAATAATAGTATCGAGTCGATTAGAAAATGGCTGACTTCACCGAAAGCATTTTTCAAATCCAGCAAAGCCACTATAATCGTTCGCTGGTTTTTTCTGGCATCTTTAAACAAATGATTTAGCATCTGTGTATGCTCCATCAAGCCATCGACTTCAGGATAAAATCTTTTTTGGATGTTTGTGTTGATAAATTTATTTTTTTTGAAGAAAATTAGTATAATCTATTTTTTTATAAATGTAGCTAGGACTTTATATAGAACGGGTTGTAGCGTTATGGGCCTAAAATTTCCCGGGTCGCTGGCGTCACCCTTTTTATAAATCAAGATAGTTAGGCCCTTTCTCCAGCAACTTGGAATCGTAAATAAGGCCCAACATTTTGAGAGTAGTCTATGAAGATAAGTTTTGAGGATTGGACATCTTTTGAACATTATTATCGATATCTGATCCAGAGGACATGGAGAGGCCCTGGATCAAACTTTTCGAATGATAGATGAAATCTCCTTATAAGTTGGCGGGTTAACATTACTACTGAAGGACGGAGCCGGCAAGGATGGAATCCACTCAGGAATATTAAACTCTTCATTATCCATCGACTTCATTACGTTGCAAAAGTGGTTACTACCCTTTTCGACGTCGAATAATGGAGGTAGCGATGTGGTTGGCGAGAACATTTTTCTGCATGTTCTCCAGAAATTCTTTGACAGTTGAATAGATATATTTAATTGATCGTCACCCTTCGCCAACTTCGCCCCACGAAGTGTTGATCTAATTTGTTTGCTCAGATTTCTTATTTCGTTGTTGTAATTGTTGTTGTTGCGTCCGAGTGTTTTTAAGATTTTAAGTTTTTTCTTTAGTTGTTTGATTTTGGCGTTGACTGATGTTGAGACGATAGGTTTTTGTGTACCGTATGAGTCGGCGAAGTATTGGTATACTGTTTGTTGTAGATGCTGGGTGTAGCTGTCGATGTCGTCAATATTGTTGAGGAAATTTAGTTTATGGTGAAAAAAGGCGTTGGCTTCCGTCCACTGCTGTTGAGTTTTAGGTAACTTAACGCCTGGGAGAGGATGTGGTGTTGTCGCAGTTGGGGCAGATTTGTGTTGAAATGATTGTGGTTGGTTGATTGTCTTGTTGGCATTTTCAACCGAGCTAATAATAATAAGAACACCTTTTTATTTTCATCGTAAAAACGTACATGAAAAAAAAAACAATAATTGTCAATGATAATCAAAATTAAAATATATATGTATATAGTAAAATGTCTTGAAATAATCTCCGAAGCTCGTCATCTTATAAAAAGGATGTGTACAACGAGAGAAGGTTAGTCCTAAATGGTTCATTCAATTTGCATTTCTATCACAGTAAATACTATATGACGACGAAATTGTTGTATAAATAAGGTTGTTGATAAAATCATCAGTCCATATTAAATTAATAAAAGACAAATCAAAAGTATTAAAAAAACCTAAAGGGGATATTTCAAATGTATTAATTGTAACGTTAGAGTGTTATA